TGTTAAGTCCAAAGCCTTGCAAAGGTTTTTAGGAGATTCTTTCCTGACTCTTGCAGAACTTCACCCTGGATGACGCGAGTTAAAAAGAATTTATATTTATATATAAAGCCAAATACCACTCACTCATCACAAAATCTCCAGAACTGTAAAGTCTACAAACTTTAAATTTGTCACGCATGTTCCTCTGGGCTTCTAGGTCCCCGCTAAGAAAGGATTTTTCGAAATGACCATCAGATCATTAGTATTTCTTATATAGTAATTAACATGCTCTGATGCTCAGGTGTTCTACTCCCCCTCCCCACCTGAAAAGAACTCTGTTCCAACTGCCAGTTGCCTCACATTCCGTTACCTCAGTTCAAACTGGCAGACGTTCCACTCCTTCACTCAGGAACAGTCTTTACAGTACAAAATGTACCTCCTCAAAATGTCTATGCCTTCCACTTATGGAACTGCTTCCGGACTCAAGGCAGTGGGAGCCAGCATTACTGCTGGTTCGCACATACACAGTTCAATGGAAATTGTTTTGCGCATGCGCAGAACTCCAAAAAAAGATGGTGGCGGTAATGGCGGTGACTGGGGAACCGGTTCGGAGGTGTGGCCAGCCTGGGTCGCTACTGGTTCTGCGACCCAGGCCAGCATACCACTACCGGTTTGACTGAACCGGTCCGAACTGGTAGGAACCGACTTCTGGGTGGGAGCGATATTCCCTTATGTGTTTCAATCACCAACCACCACTGAACCAACAGATTGAACCGGAGTGAGCTGGATTTCTCCTGCATTGCCCGATCACATAGTTTCGTCGCGAAGCACGGGTATCCAGCTAGTTTATAAATAAAAGTCTAATGCTCTCTTCTGATCGCAGATACTTGCAGCCATTTAATGTACCTGCGTGTGGCTCGGAGGCAATGCAATTAGGAAGCAAGGAAAAAGATGTTGAATGTGAGGATAAGGGTGAGCTTCTGAATTCTCCAGGCCTTGTTAACAAGCAAGTTGTTTGCTAAACGAAAAAGGAGGAAGATGCAAAGACCTCCCCCACCCCCCAAAAAAGTAGGTCAAGCTGCTTCAGCCCCTGAGGGCTGTTCTACAAAGTCAATCCAAAGACAGAAGATGCCAACGGGATACTGAAACATTTAAGACCTAGACTCAATGTTCAAGAACAGGCGGCCATTCCTAGCTTCCCTTTTAATCACGGGCCTCGGGCTGGGGACACAGCCGCGATAAATACCTATCCAGAACTATTCAATGTTCCTCCCAAGTTCTCAAATTGAGAATCTGGGTTTTAAAGCTTGCAGGCAGCCTTCAAATTTGGAATAGAGCTGGAAGGAGCCTTGGGGTCTTATAGGTTCTTCTGCTTCAGCAGGGGGATGGACTAGAAGTCCTCCGTCCCTTCCAGCTTCTATTCTATTCCTATCCTCCTCCTCCTCCTCCTCCTCCTCCTCCTCCTCCTCCTCCTCCTGTCTGCTCAAGCAGGAGACCTTGTACCATTCCAGACAATTGGGAATCCAATTGTCTCTTCTTAAAAAAAAACCTCCAGTGATGGAGCTACTATGACTTCCACTGGTTAATTGTTCTCACTGTTAGGAAGCTTCTCCTTAATTCGAGGTTGCTTCTCTCCTGGATTAGTTTCCATCCGTTGCTTCCTGCCCTGCTCTCTGGCGCCTTGAAAAACAATTTCACCCCCTCTTCATTGTGGCAGCCCCTCAAACACTGGATTCCTGCTATCCCATCCCCACTAAATCCTTCTTTCCTCTAGACTAGCCATAGCCAATTCCTGCAGCCGTTCTTCATATGTTTCAGTCTCCCGGCCTCTCTCCGGCAGGCCTCCTCCATTGGGCATTCTCAAGCCTTGTGAGCTGCCTGGTCTTCTACGTTTCCCCCGGAGAAAATTTATGTGCGGGGTTTCCAATCCAAAGCCACAAAGCCTGAATGGAGAGAGAGCCCTCGCCTTGCATTCTCTTGCGCAGCTACCTGACTTCAGCTGCTTCTTCCTGGAAGAAGCATGCATTATTTAAGGTGGGGGTGGGTGGGTGGGATCGCTTCGGAGGGGGGTGCCGGGGAAGGCTCCATTATTCTCCTTTGATTTAATGGCGGCCTCCCCAATAAAACAAGAAGATAAAAATCATCTCCCTCCCTCTCCTCCTCCTCCTCCCCTCTCTTTTCTTTGCAAGAAAGAAAAAAAAGAGAGAGAGGGAAGAGATAGAAGCAGCTGCCTGGTCTTTTCGGTGGAGCAGAATCGATCTGTCTGACAGACATTTCGGTGTTTTATTGCTAGAGAAGCACACATCCAAATTAAAAAAAAAACCCTTTCTAAAAGGCCATAAAATTAAAGTATCTCTTAAAGGCACTTTGCTCAGAGCGGGCCCTTCTCCAACCTGCCTCTTCCACGCTGGCCCTTTTCTCTCTTTTTCCTGGGTTGTGAGTCCTTCAGATACAACGTTCTCCAGCCCCTCCAGGCACAAGAGGGGGGGGGGGGCTGCACTTTTGTTGTGAACTTCAACAAAAGAGCAGCACACCCAAGAGATCCCCACAAGCAAGGTGGCTGCAGAGATGGGGTGGGGGTAGTGGTTAAAAAAGGCCCCCACATGTGAGATGGTATAGGTTCTCCTGCTTGAGCAGGGGGCTGGACTAGAAGACCTCCAAGGTCCCTTCCAGCTTCTATTCTATTCTATTCTGTTGCATTTGATTCTTCATTCCAATATTCTATTCTATTCTCTCTTCTCTTCCCTCTTCTCTTCTCTACTATTCTTTTCTCTTTTCTCTTCTCTCTTCTCATCAAAGCTATTCTCTTCTCTTCTTTCTTCTCTTCTAAACTATTCTCTTCTCTCTTCTTTTCTAAACTATTTTCTTCTCTATTCTATTCTCTTCTAAACTATTCTATTCTCTCTTCTTTTCTCTTATAAACTATACTCTTCTCTTCTCTCTTTTCTTCTAAACTATTCTATTCTCTCTTTTCTTCTCTATTCTATTCTCTTATAAACTATTCTATTCTCTCTTCTCTATTCTATTCTATGCTATTCTATTCATTTCCCTACCCTACCCTACCCTACCCATTGCACTGCATTCCACTCTATTCTAAATAATAGAGCTGGAAGGGATCTTGGAGGTCTTCTAGTCTGACCCCTTGATCAAACAGGAGACTTTATACCATTTCAGACAGTTGGCTGCCCAGTTTCTTCTTAAAAGACTCCAAGTGGTGAAGCCCACACACATTATGGTGGCAAGCTGTTCCACTGGTTAATTGTCTTCACTGTCAGGAAATTTCTGCTTAATTCAGAATAGAGCTGGAAGAGATATTAACTATGGGAGCTGAAGTCCTTGTTCTTGGCCAGGTTTTGGAAGTAGCATGCCCTGACCTTCTTCTTCCTAGGGCTAAGAGATGGGGACTAGCCTAAAATCCCCCAGCTGGGAGGTACCTCAGGCAGGACTAGAACTCACTGTCTCCCAGTTTCTAAGCCAGTGCCTTTAATTGCTTGTTCAGATAAATAGCTAGGTAGATATTATGAATCTGCTGCCGCTGAATATGCAGCCATGGAGGAAGAAAAGTAGCTGTAAGGTTTCCTAAAATGCCCTAATTGATTCATGAGTATCGAGTTAAGTTTCAATATAAAACTAGTCATTTATTAGGAACACCATAAGCAAGATCTTTTCGCAATCAGGTCTAAGCTTTGTTTGAGATATATCTGAACTTTAACCCTGTTCCTTCCCTCCCCTCAGTCTGTGTCATAAATCACATTCCC